ATCAAAGCTGACTATCACAAAATACGCCAATATTTAAACATAGATTTACACAATATTTATTGAATTATTATTAGAAAATATATATTTTTGGTAGTTTCAGATGTTAGGTAAATTAAAAACAATTGTGTGCATACTATTTCATATGGTATTTCAAATTCTCTCAACCTCAATCTGTTTCACCTATGTCGAATGGCGATTTTCACGGAATGTGACAATGCAGTGATTGTGATGATGTAGAGCTACAATTGTTAGTAATACACTCTTGAAACCATAAATATAGTGATGGTCCTAAAACAAATGAGCCAGGACACTCTATACGCGTCTTGAATTCAGTCACTGCCTTGAATTACGAATCTCGTGTAAATATCACACTTACATGATAGGCATCCACACAACGTATGGTGTCAATGGGCACTGATTTGCTGCTGACGAACCGTAACAAATACGTTTCGATACATACGATAGAAATGCCGTTCTGGCTTGCTCCTCTGTTGCTGCCGCACTGAAAAATATTACACATACATCGTGATACCATATCAACATTATTATTCGATATTGGCAGGCTATTATCATTACATTTACCCTGACGATCGGATAAGTGATATCAGGGACCCGGATCATCAGAGACAACATATGTTTTGCAATGTTGCAAGAGAGATTGACAGCGGTGTTCGTGATGAGTTTAATTCGGCAACCGCTTTACACGTTTTCGCCCCAGAAAATAAAGTAAAGATACGATAAACATGGAACGTTATGACTCAATATATACTCTATTAAAACTCAGTTGAGGCATTCAAATTTGTAAATGTCACATTTCAATGAAATAAAATGGGTTCGTATAGACGCATTCGAATTTGTACTTTATATATTTACGCACAGAACTGAAATTAAATTTATGGATTCTTACAAAATGTTTATGCATGTCAATGTTGAGTCAATATATACTTCATTAAATATGAATAGATGAGATGCATTCAAATTCGTACTTTACATATTTACATACTAAACTGAAACGAAATTTACCGATTCAAATTCTTACATAAAAGAAACATTCAAATTTGACAATGCAATATAATATAATATAATTTGGTATAATTAAAATTTTAATTTACGACGTCCAGGAAATGTAATTAATTGAGGTGGTATATCATAGCGTGACACCAAAAAAATGTCTTTACGGCAATTTCAGGGGACAAAAGAATCAAACACGCGCATCGGAATAAATGCCCCGGCAAAGCATGGTCCAATGTTCCAGAGCTTGAAAAGCATTACACACGTATATACTAATTGCTTTCTCGGAGTCCAGTTTCAACTTCCGTGACCTTTGACCCTAGTAGTCGCTGAATAATGTAAATATATGAACAAAGCAGTGTCTCTGTAAACACGCTGACACCCTGTCGTCGCAGTACCCGAGAGCTGTTCACACTCACCTTGCTAGGCTGTAGACACCATTTTCAATCGGCTGTGCTGTTTCCTCCAACTCAATCTCTGTCAGATCCTCAGGGGGAGGTGGTGCCACCGGTTCTCCAAACATATCATACGCAGAAACTCGCCGCATTTCTGACGAGGACGTTAAAGGTGGGGGTTTCTCTTCCAGCTGTTTTGAAACGTTCAAGTTGTTTCTATACAGTCTTAGCAAAAAGAAAGAAAATAATTGTAACACCGATTTAATTTACTGTAGAAAATTCAAAAAAAAAAAAAAAGTATTTCAATATTGTTGGAATTTGTTAACATATCGTTGGAAAAAATCAAAGCTGGTGACTAAATTAATCCGACTACGTCCAAAATGCTTATATCACCATGCTTCACGTTTAAACACGGTTCAAAAAACTGGAGGCAGTTTCTTGAGTTATAATTGAATATGCGCGATAGAATACTGCAATGAAAGTGTTGTTGTCACCATGCGTAGCTCACTCGTTTCAGTGCTTGTGCAGAAATGTTGTTAAGTGAAGCATCGAGCTGAAAAACGCCGGCGCTCTTGTTTGAAATGTGGCAAGTTGTCTAGAAGTAATTAATAGTGGAAAGTGAAGGCCCGGCCTGTGATATAGTTGTGTTGTTGTTAAGAAATGCATTGATTACTGTCGTATTCACCCAGAGGTGGTGAGTGAATACCGTTCCGCACTATAAAATATCCATAGAAAGAAATGCATGACAGTGACCAACAATCATCACTTGCCATGCTGACCACTGCCCCGATTTTTGCTAATTTGGCAATTATCGCACGAAAGTGATTACAATTGCATTGTTTACAAGGTACAATATCCGCTACGTTTACTACGCAGGTATGCCTACCTCCTTGAGACAACTGGTATTGGGTCTTCAGTCTCTTCTTCGCTAAAGAATTCCTCAAATTCCCTGAGTTCTTTCTCCAAGTCGATGGTGAATGTTTCCTCCAAAATACGTTCTATTGCAAGGATCGGGTCGTAGGTAGCGGAGTTAGCAGAATATCGCCGCGTCAAGCTTTTATTGTCACCAAACACGCCATTGCTGATCGGTGTAGTGGTTTCTACTTCCTCGTTGGAAATTTCTCTTTTCATAATAAGCTTCCGCGTTCAACAAAAGTAGACGTTTTTGTTTGTTCAATAGAAGCGACCCGATGTGACCCAAACAGCGCCCCCTCAAGCCCGATGTAAAGCATGCATGTTGTCGGCTGTAGAGCATGGGGTGTAGACTTGCTTATTAATGTCGCCTTATTGTTTGTTTTTTTTCGAAAATAAAAATAAGATACATAAATTAAGAAAAATACCTTGAAAACAGCTAACATTGTGAAATAATGTAATGATCGCAAAAACATTTCGCGATCAACTTCCATTATCGCGAACGCTATTTCGAGTTTTAGCCTTTCCTTGGGTTTTTTGGGGGGTAGATTAAAAAAACAACAATAAGACGGGGAAGCAAGAATAAATGAGATGCATCTTTCTGTTAAAGAAAAATTCTAAGCAAACAATATAACCCCTACCCAATGAAAGATGCAGTTTACAGTTTTTTCATATCACTTTTCATTCCCTAGTTACTAGTACTCAACTTTTCATCAGTATCATCATATCATGTAGACCACCATCTTGATTCTCCAGCAAAGTATTATAGGTAAAGTACGACATCCTAAACACTGCGAATTGCGAAAATGATTTCATCTGTCCTATCAGAAGAAGAGACGCCCAGCCATCCGGGCAGGTGGTGGTGGTGGGGGGGGGGGTATGTCTTCCATGAATATTCTGCCCATTGTGCAACAATCCATGCCTGTGTTAAAGTATGTAACATTGTTGGCAACATATTGTAAAAAGGGTATCCATTTATCACTGTTTAAAGTAAGTGACGATACATCTCCACTTTTTAGGAAAGTATCCTGTGTATTGTAATTCACGAACGCACCAAGCAATTGTTGGCGTGTACACTGCGCGTTGGTCAGTGATTATAACATCAGTAGAACCGGATAGAAGCATCCAATAACGATAGCATTACACGGATGGGATGTTTATGTCATTATTGTCCGTGGGGGAAGTTATACTTAGTAGTCGTTAATTGACGTCATCAATAGGTTTCACATGTAGCTCAGAGTATACCAGGAATTGTCATACATTGATTTATAGTCTCTAATTGGGAGGGGGCAGTAGTCGAAAATGTTTACTATTACAACATTGTCCACTGAGAATCTAGATTTAGGATGGATGGATGGATGCAAATAAAGCACGATCTCTTTGCATGGCCAAAGTGAATATAAAAGTCTTGAAACAACTTATGTAACAAGTCATTGTCAGTGACACGTCCCCGTTCCGTTCATATTTGAGTGACATATACATTCAAAGCAGATCATGACCGAAATGCACCTGCACATATCTATTTGTGACATGATGTATCATGTGTGTGTGAAGTTTGAATCCAGAACTGAATTCTTTAACAAAATGGCCGCCAGTCGGCCATTTTCGAACTTGATCCG